ATGATATGTGACGAGTAACTTGTATTCATTTGAGGGATTATGACTCTAGCGTTGGGTAGTTTGATTTCAACTCCATTGTAGCACACTGTTTTAATAGATTCTAAGTACATTAACCGGTTTTTTGAAGATTGCTTTTCACCCGCACCATATGGAGTTGAACAGGAGGCATGGAATGGATCACATTCAACGACAAAGTGTTTTTCGTAGCGGTTGAAATAATCCGAAAGATCCGTAAAGAACCAAAAAGATCGAGCAGTATGGAGCTAATACTGACAGGTCATCTCGTGCTTCATGCTCCAAAAAAACGAGAATTAAAAATTTATCATCGTAACTCGTCAAAATACTTATGGTACACTGAAAATGTGATTCAGTTAAATATTGAGAGATACTCAGCTACATGTCTAAAATTTGCATAATTGATGCAGAACATCATCAGTTATAATGTCTACTTACGGTAACTGTTCCAAAACAAAAAATATATGTTTTCGTGGAGATTTGCACTGCGCATCTGCCATATTTTTACAGGCCCTTTTCAGCGCCTTGTAATTGACAATCATCCACTGGTTGTTATATCTGAAACAAATAATTTATCAAAATCATAGCTGTTAATTATGAGCTTTACGTTCCAGAGTTGAACATTGAAAAAAGCGTCGTCCAGTGTAAACCGTCGGTAGCCAATCTGTTGGCCAACGTCGTTCGAATCCAAGTGAGAAGTGCGTTTTCCGGCCGAATATATTCCAGAAGCGATTCGTTTCGGCAATCAATCGTTGTTTCGGTTACCGCCTCAAATATATACATGTAACTCAAAATTGATTAAGCTCGCCTTACAAGTCCTGAAGAAAGAAGATAGAAATCGTCTATTGACCAAAGCGTCCCCGGATAAGAAGAAAATGTGGAGGTAATAGGCGTTTCTAGAGCAGTACCTGAAACTTCATTTATTAAGTACAACTTTCTGACCACAAAATTCTTCCAATTTGCAAATCAGCTTAAAATTCAGGAAATTCAAATTTTAGCCTTACCTTTGCAAGTCAGTGCGAGGTCACTGCTATGATAGCTATCACTCTTAACTTAGCAATGAAATTGAAACTAAGAAATTTGCGTTTGCAATATCGGCTATAAACATTACAAGAGGGAAGCATCTTGTTATATGATGGAACATTCGTTCATTGTCTGCTAAAGTTTGGCTGGATGATGCGTACCGTACGATCCTCTACAAACTCGACGTATTGGCGGTCACAGAAGCCCGCTTTCCTGGGAAGGAGACCTTTGACCTGCAGAATGCGTGATTACTTTGTTAGTCAGGTCACAGTATAGGCACTCTCTCGGATAGGTTACAAAATGCACTGCCATTAATCAGTGTATAAGCAATGTAAAATAGTCAATTAAATTATCTTTCTTTGTCGAGTGTTTACGGTTGCATCGGTGCTTACGCGCTTAAGAAAGAAATTTACCTCTGTCGAGATGGAACTTGAACCTATAAAGCTTTTGCATCCTGAGCATAGTCGAATAAGGTGCCCACGTGACATGGGACACATAAATATCATTGATATCTTTAATTGGTAAAATGAATGCACTGCAGCTGAATCCGGATTTCTTCAGGTCTTTTGGTCTTTTAAATTTCCTTTCCAGCTCGATCAAGTCTCCCAAAATTTGCAGACGTCTGAAAATAACCCCAGCAGCCAATAACTGCCATGAACATTATTTGCGACTTAATGTACTTACAGAAATCCGAACACAGATATGTTTATGTGAGGCTTCAAGGTCTTGTTATAATATCCGTCTTCAAGTCCTGCGAGCTGCATTAAAATTAGCTTCACCTAAATACACAAAATACAGTATTACATAATTAGCAGACAAACTTAGTAAAATGAATACAGTGGGATCGGGTCCTACTTAAATAGTCTCCATAAACGACTGAAAACAAAGGGTTTGTGCAACGTTGGTAGTCAACCCGGTATAATGACTGCCATATCTCCTGTACTTCCATAATATTGCTGTAAAGTAAGTAACTTTCAGAGTCTTAGCCGCATAAATCCGGTATCACCAGTTGAAAGTAAGATAAATAACATTTTCTATTTTGATACCGAATTGAAACGGCGTAATAGCACCAACCCCTTGCTTCTATCGGCCACGGCTTCATGGAATTTGAGCACATGCAGTGCCTGGATGCAGAACCGCCTGACTGAGGAGGCCTGTTCGGACTCCTGTCAATACGCCACAGTTCTTAAGCTGATTTATGCATGAAAAGTAACCTAATCTTGCTAGTTCGAAACATGCAAACAATATCGTGCGACGGTTCGAACAGATTTCATTTATGACCGCTGATGAAGAAGCTCATTAAGAGCGGCTTACTCAGCGCTGCTGCCGAATGCTGCGGTTTGAAACGGGTAAGCATTCCGACTGGAGATCAGAAACGAACTTATTGATGGACACGAAAGGTTGAAGTGGCTGTCATCCAGAACTAGGCTCCATTCAAGAGATTACTTGGAAGCAAAGATCCTTGGACTCGAAGAAGTGCCAGGCGGCAGCGAAAACAGTAGCGAAAGCCGAAGCTGATTTCTGGGCTAAGCAGGTCATCTGCAGCCTTCGACCATGAAAGAAGGGCGCTCTATGACTCCTAAAGGACAACCCTGGACGACATCTTACCGAGGATGAGAAAATTCTTCAGAGAGTACTTTGGGAAAATCCTTAATCCCGAACACCTGCAGGAAGACTCTCCTATAAAGCACCAGAGAACAGATGTTATTATTTTTTTAGACGAAATCATGCTGACTGCGCAATGTTTAAAAAATTGCTCTAACTGATGAAATCCGCCCTGAAATGCTTAAGGCTTTAGGCGAACAAGGCATGTGCTGGCTTGCATATGTCTGTCAAACTGAAATGACTGCGGGAAAGACACCAGCGGACTAGAGAACGGGAGCTATTGTGCCTGTATTCAAGAAGAGAGACCAACAGGGAATGCACCAATTATAGGAGCATAACGTTATTGAGCCTCCCAGGTAAAGTCTACGCAAAGGTGTTAGAAAGGAGGTG